ACAAAAATCACCTCTAAGCCTTTAATCAACAAAAGATCACCTCTAAGCCCTTAATCAACAAAAGATCATCTCTAAGCCTTTAATCAACAAAAGATCATCTCTAAGCCTTTAATCAACAAAAGGTCATCTCTAAGTCTTTAATCAACAAAAGATCATCTCTAAGCCTTTAATCAACAAAAGGTCATCTCTAAGCCTTTAATCAACAAAAGGTCATCTCTAACTCTTTAATCAACAAAAGATCACCTCTAAGCCTTTAATCAACAAAAGGTCATCTCTAAGTCTTTAATCAACAAAAGATCACCTCTAAGCCTTTAATCAACAAAAGATCACCTCTAAGCCTTTAATCAACAAAAGATCACCTCTAAACCTTTAATCAACAAAAGATCACCTCTAAGCCTTAAATACCAACGAGACCCATAAATATCGAACAAAGTTATTTAATAAAAACAATAGTTGGAGAACCAGTAAATATAACAGTAACACAAAATAGGGCGAGTATTAATTTTTCTATGATGATGCTAGTCTTTCGTTGCTTCTTAGTTTACAAAACAGGCTCATGGTTTTTCCACAATAAAATTATCATCGTAGTCGATCTAATAAATCATGCGTTTTCATATAGCTAAAAGTATTAATTACAATAACTTTTGTTTATTGCAAAATCATAATAACGGATAATATATTACGAACTAAGTTCCTTAGATATTATCAAGTGTAACAATTACAAAAAACGACGTATTTTGGCACAATAAAGAAAATTAAATTTCGGTAAAAAAGTTTACCGAAACTAGTTGGCTGTAAATGATATTGAATAATTTTACTTTCTATTCTGCCAAAAAACGTCGTTTTTGTCATTTTTACTCCTAATATACCAGCACAATGTGCCTTAAAAATAATTACGTATTATCATAATATATTATTGTTATTTTGTGTTTATTATCATAGAATAATAAAGCACATGCAACATACACAGTTCTTGAATGAAAACCACAGGACGATTATTACTCTAATAGTACAGAATAGTCCTTACCGTTTTTTTTCTCTACTTTTTTTATGTATACATATGCTGTTACAAAAGTGAAAAAGCAAAGCGTGACAAGGCTTAGCATCAATACCTTCATTCTCAAAATTTGTTTCTGGTTTTTCTTCAAAAGATTTCACAAAATCAAAATTCTCCCGATTATACGTCTTAAATACAGGCTTTTATTCTGTCACTGGCCACACGTAAGTAAGAGTTCTATTGACGTAAACCCTTTCGCATTAAAGTGTGTATATTCAACTTCAAGGTTAAGACAGTCGGATGAAACCACGTGAAAGCTCGTAATAAATCACTTCATAATTTCAACTGTACGCAGAGATATAAATAACAATAACAATGCTTGATGGATTGAAAATAACAATAGAGACCTTCGATTAGTGACGTCTTACTATAGGGAGGGCCAAAAATGGGGCACTAACGTTCAAACCAGTTCACGAGCTCAGTACCCGCCTCTGCTATCATCTGACCACATGAGTAAAGATATGTTTGAAGGAGAAACAAATAAATATGTCCGAATGTGTGTCAGTCAGGTCAAGGCAAGAAGGTAAACACAACTGAAATACTGAAACAGAGAACACTCACAACTACCCTTTTTTAATTATAAAAGTCAATGTTCTTGTAAATTCAGCAATGCTACTTATGATTAATTAATTAAATGCAAAGTATTAGTGTGAGAAAACTTTCTAATTATCAACTTATGAATCACATCTCTTCAAATATGTGTGTTTCATGAGAGCATTCTTAAAACAGAAATTATCTCTCGCTTTCAACTATTTTTGTCCAATGGCTGTAACGATGTAAAAGACATGCTTAGTATACATATATAACACCAGATAAAAATATGTTTTGTAAATGAATAATGTGAGAATTGTATTTTTACAAGAACTCGGAGTTGAAACACTGAAATAGTTAAAAATCTTTGTCTGTATATACACCCAACACTTCTGGTTAAATTCTGAAGAGCAAGTGATATTTAGGCTGACAATGCAACTTTTTTGTTTAAAAAAAAACTGGAGAGAAAGTTTTTTAAATGTAACTAAGATTTTAAATATTACTGTTTTTTTAAACCTGTGAGATATACTAATGTATACATTTATACAAATATAATTACGCCACCGAGATTGTATACAAATACAACTCTCAAACACTCGTCATTTTCTTCATAACTTATCAAGCTAATCTTCAGCGAATGATGTAAATAAATTATTTCTAATAAAAAGTACAGAGCAGCGTATAACTTGAGGTTTCAATGAGTGCAGTTTTTTTTTTTAAATAAATATCCATGTTTTCCAAAAAAAGAAAAAAAAAGGAGCTAATTTATTTTCCAGTAACGAAAGTCGAATATTGATGAATTTCAAATAGAATTACTTTTAAACGCCTAACTCTCTGGTTCAAAATGGAATTGTTGTGAGCTAAGGAACACAGATACAAAAGTACATTTACAATAGTTATTCGTGTGTTCTGTAAATGTAAAAGTGTGGTAGGAACTAAAGGAACACAGATACAAAAGTACATTTACAATAGTTATTCGTGTGTTCTGTAAGTGTAAAGGTGTGGTAGGAATTGAAGGAACACAGATACAAACATACATTTACAATAGTTATTCATGTGTTCTGTAAGTGTAAAAGTGTGGTAGGAACTAAAGGAACACAGATACAAACGTACATTTACAATAGTTATTCATGTGTTCTTTAAGTGTAAAGGTGTGGTAGGAACCGAAGGAACACAGATACAAACGTACATTTACAATAGTTATTCGTGTGTTCTGTAAGTGTAAAGGTGTGGTAGGAACCGAAGGAACACAGATACAAACGTACATTTACAATAGTTATTCATGTGTTCTGTAAGTGTAAAGGTGTGGCAGGAACTGAAGGAACACAGATACAAACATACATTTACAATAGTTATTCATGTGTTCTGTAAATGTAAAGGTGTGGTAGAAACTGAAGGAACACAGATACAAACGTACACTTACAATAGTTATTCATGTGTTCTGTAAGTGTAAAGGTGTGGTAGGAACTGAAGGAACACGAATACAAACTTTTGTGTATTCTATACAAAGAAAATACAAAAAAAAAGTTGTTTGGTATGTTTGACCTTGCATTAACTATATTCGAAAGTACAGCAGTTAAGTGGGATACGGTGTTTCTTCGGGAAAGGAGGAACTTGTGAAATCCGTTTAGAAGATCATATCAAACTGGTTCTTTGGTAAAGACTTGACAAACTCTTTCTTACAGGTTTGGTGAAATTATTTCTTGGAAATTAATGCGAAATTTACAGTAGGATTAATTGAGGTTAGAGTTTGTCCCATGATTCGTTGCGCAGCCTGAAAGCGTAGGTTAGACAAACGAAAAATGGGTGATGTAATAACGTTTTATAAGGATGGTAAAAGAAAAAAACACCAAGAAGAATCAGTGTTTGTGGTCGTAAGCATGTATCCGAAAAAGAATGTAACAAAGAATACATTTGTAGGATACGCTGGGTATGGTATTCAGAAAATAAGTCCTAATAATTTCAAATCTGCATTTACGTAATTAAACAGTAAATACAGGGCCTAGTTATGTTATATGCTTAGTATTAAGTTAAATTCAAAGGAGTTCAGGTAAAAAAAAGTAAGGTTTGTATTAACTTAGTAGTTGAGATTTGAGAGAAGCACAGTCATTGGACGCGTTAAAAGTATATTTTCTGTAAAAAAATTAACCTATAATTTAAGCAAAACAAAACATATTTATGAGTTAGCTATCGCTTTATCAAATTTATTTCTCATTATATTTCAATGAATTGAGAAATAATTACTGTTATTTTGAGATCAGAAAAAGTTTCTGTGAAATACGGGTCGTTGTAAATATTCAGTTACTTTTAGAAATGCTTTATTATTTTCTATCTTATTATTAATTTGGTTAATGACGTAAATTGAAGTCGGAAATGAATCGCTCGTGGTACTATAAAGACTACATTATTAAAGTATTTTGTTTTCTTCAAACAGCTTAATCAAGATACTTTTCACCCAAAACTTACAATTAATCTGATTGCAAATGTTCTGCTAGAAATAAACATATTTTTCGTTAGCGGTATAGCGGCTCATAGAATATCTCCGAGTTATTTTTTTTTCAAGTACAAACTTTTAGCTTCTGGCTCCATCTCTTGACCGATCTGAGATCTAATTACATAGGACAGCACACACCCGGCTGCAAAACAATCAAACACATACATTTCTAACTTGAAAATATATCTATAAAAAAAATCTTTAACTCGAGTAGTTAACACATAACAACATGATTTTGTCGTTTTTCTAGTTTCAGTTGCTAAATGTCATCGTCATGTGACCGGATAAAACGTTAATTTGAAACAGTTTCTAAGAAAACAAGTTTTAAGGTGTAGAGTTTCAGGAACGTGACATTTAATAGTGATATGCCATTGCTATATTCCTAGAAGAAAAAATTAATAAAATGTATAAAAGCAGCCCTCTATCATCCAGTGGAACTCGAATCTGTCATATATAAAATAACTTCTCACAATAGGACAGCGTAATGAATACTTTAAATTAGTTTAAACTCAAACAGTCCAGATAATTGTATGGTCTTCTACACTTATCGTCCGATTATTTTCAATAATCTGAAGAGAAGCCTAATTAATTTTGTTATGAACAAAATCAGAGTTTCACGAAAAACTATTGTTACTTTTATGAATTTCCGTTAATGCTAATCCCATTGGTGTAGTCGCCCGTTTGCTCAGATATATTCCTGAGGGCTTATCACACTAAAAATTGGGTTTCGATAACTGTGGTGGGCAGAGCACAGATAGCTCTTTATGTACATTTGTACTTAATTACAAACAAACAAATAATGCCCCCAGTGGCACTTTTGGTACTAGAGTTACTAGCAGTAAAAACTGTTTGAGGGGATATGGTTATAGTAAACGTTCAACATAATCTATGAACTATGTTTTATAAAATGAGTAAAAGCTTCCATGTTTAAAAGTGCACAATAATTTATTATATAAAGTTAAAAGCGAAATATACAATTAGAAACTCTATACAATTAAAAACTCCATACAATTAGAAACTATACAATTGAAACTCTATGCAATTAGAAACTCTATACAATTGAAAGTCTATTAGAAAATCTATACAATTAGAAACTATACAATTGAAACTCTATACAATTAGAAACTCTATACAATTGAAACTCTATTAGAAACTCTGTACAATTAGAAACTCTATACAATTGAAAGTCTATTAGAAAATCTATACAATTAGAAACTATACAATTGAAACTCTATACAATTAGAAACTCTATACAGTTGAAACTCTATTAGAAACTCTGTACAATTAGAAACTCTATACAATTAGAAACTCGATACAATTGAAACTCTATTAGAAACTCTGTACAATTAGAAACTCTATACAATTGAAACTCTATTAGAAACTCTGTACAATTAGAAACTTTATACAATTAAAACTCTATACAATTAGAAACTTTATACAATTAGAAACTCTATACAATTAAAAACTCTATACAATTGAAACTCTATACAATTAGAAACTCTATACAATCAGAAACTCTACACAATTGAAACTCTATACAATTAGAAACTATACAATTGAAACTCTACATGTGTCAGGGGAAAAATTCCACCATCTTCAGGAGACCGTAGCTTTGAGAAATGTTGGATGCCCAGTGTTTTTTGTTTGTTTTTTTAGCCAGAGTTTCAAAACTTGTGGAATATAATATTATACAATTATGGAAAAATTATAATGATTTTACTATTTTTTAAAGATCCTATATGTTTTTGACATTTCTTTTTCTTGATATTTCTATCGCTTGAAATATTTGGTAACGAAACTAAACCATGTTTGTGAAAACTACATACATTTCTTACCTTAAATTTGAAATATCAAAAACTTGGTTATGATTTTACTGGCTTAACGATAAGGCTGAGAGCTTACAACGCTAAAAACTAGGTTGGTGGGCACACTACAGACAAGCCTGACATGGCTTGGTGATTAGAGAGCTCAATTTGCATTATGAAGGTCGCGGGTTCGATTCCTAGTCACTCGGAACATGTTCGCCATGGGGACGTTGTAATGTTTGTAGGGCCTGGCATG